TATATAGATAGATATATATATAGTACTAGGGACCAACCCCAGGCCTGTTAAGCAAGTACTCTACCACTGAGCAATACTCCCAATTCTTTTTTCTTTTTGTTTTTTCTTTCTTTTTGAGGGTCTTGATATATAACCCAAACTAGCCTTGAACTCACAGTGATCCATCTGTCTTTCCTCCCTAGTGCTGGGACTACAGGTATGAGCAACCAGGTCTGGCTTATACTTCTATTCTTTATCTAATGGAGACTCTCTACATGTAGACAAAGCTTTGTGTGCCTTCAATACTGCATTGTCTAAGAAACTGAAAAAGTTAAAAGAAAAACTAAAAACTTAATGGAGAGCTATAACTTCAAAAATTATATGGTAACAGGGAAGAGGTTTTTCATAATGACAAGGGAAGAGAATAGGCTACAATACTGCCTACAGTAAAGTCGGGAAGTCACAGGATCTATATTTGAGTGTGGACTTTCCAGCGAAGCTGTAAATGGGGGAGGGGGCACTCTTCTGTAAATAAACCCTCACCCTATGCTCTGTTAGCAAGCCCAGAGAAAGTCCAAAAAAAAAAAAAAAGGACAGAATTAATGGAAGCCGTCATTACTCCACCAAAGTTAACCCCATGGTAGCAAATCCTTTGGTCTTTGATTTCTTATTCCTATTCCCCCCACCCCTTAAACCTCATTGTATAGATACTTCTATGTAACCTGCTTCAAATGATTTCTAGAAAAATGTGTTAAAAATTGCCTCTCTTTGGAATAGTAATAAAAAAATACAAAGGAAATAAAAAGTTACATCTTGAAAAAAAGACCAGCAGAAATACATTAAAATGTTGTTTTGTCTGTTTAAATGACATTTTGGATTCACACATACTTTTCATTTTCCTAGTTTCTTAGAAATAATATCAACTGTCTATAGTACATATGTTTTTAAATCTTTGTATCAAAGCATATTATTTGGTTTTCAAACAATGAGGGAGAAATAAACTTTTCAATCCAGGGAGAAAATATGATTCAACATCTTAATTCTGAAACTAATGCAATAAAAGAATAGAATATTTCTAACTCTGATATGACCAGGGAGCTGGATGAGATGGGTTTGTTTCTGTCTTCCCTGCCCTTCTGTGGTGCCAGATGGACATGAGCATGTCCCATTCCTTAAGGGGAAAGCCACACCAGCAACACTGCTTTCTCATTACATCTTCATTTCCACAACCTCAGTGTCAATCAGGAAAGTAAACCTTGAAACCCAGCATGGCCCATATACTTATAATCCTAGCACCTAAGACACAGAGGTAACAAGACCAGGCACTCAAGGCCATCCTCTGCTACATAGCAAGTGGCCAGCATGGGCTACATGACACCCTAATTCAAAACACAACAAATTAAACCTTGGGTCAAACAGCTTATTTTTTTGTTGCTGTTTTTTTTGCAGCTGGAATCAAAAGTCTTGAGCTCCTTGGTTTGCAACAAAGATTGTGTACCATCTCATAAGCTACATTCCAAGCCTGTCTGGCAATGAGGCACAACAGAAAAACAGGGACATTTCAGGGGAACTAGGGAAGCGAAACAAGTCTGATTGAAGCCTCTCGCTGGCTAAGAATCAAAAATTCCTGGGCCCACCCCTTACTGAAGAGCTATTGAAGTTGACAGTTGCTGGGGAGGGAGAATCACTCTTTGAGCACTGGTAGGTTTCCCATGCTCCAATGGAAGGCCCAACACCCATGTATATATGGGCAGCACTAACTGGACTTAGTGGGTTATAGAAACAAACAAAATACATTAAGTTGTGAGGGGTCCTGTTGAGGGGGCTATGGTGGAAACTGGAGGGAGGAAATGGGGGTGGAGTAGATGGACTATACTTCAGTGCATACATGTATGAAATTCAAGAATAAAGAAAAAAAATTTAATTCCAGCACCTTATTTGCTGTGAAGGCTGCTGACATAGAAACAATATTCCTTTTAATATGCTGTTTTCAAATAAGAATGTTAAGATAGCAATATTTAAGGCCTAAGCCTGTATGTCCTCAAGAATGGCCTTATTTTTTTCCCAGCTTTTTTCTGGGAATCTCACAAACAAGATAAAATTTTTGTTTACTTAAAAAAGGAATATCTTGCTATTTGCTACTCTAACATAGCAAAAAGCCCCATTTTAAAAAAAAAAAAAGAAAAAAGAACCAGTACTTGTAGTTATCAGAAAAAAGTGACAGGGAGATATGGGAGGTGTTGGAGGGGAGGGAATAGGTGTGGATTTGATCAAACACCTTATATGCATGTATGAAATTCTCAATAAATTCCTTAAAAAAAAAAAAGAGTATTTTGGGCCAGCAAGATGGTTCAGCAGGTGAAAGTGCTTGTTATGCAAGTCTGATGACCTGAGTTCAATTAACAGAGCCCACAGTGGAAGGAGAGAGCCAATTCTGCAAGTTGTCCTCTGACCTCTCATGTGTGCCATGGCAGGGGCACACCTGCACTCACATACACATCACACACATACAGGAATAATAATTAAATTTTTAAAAAATCTTAACTTCTCTTGGAACTTTTGTGACCTAGGGCTTTACCTTATCAGCTGTAATCCTAATCCAACGCCCATCAGGAACCACCCTATGATTTCATCTGCCAAAAAAGAAAATGTTCCTTAGCAACCCTTTTAGATACAACTCAGAAATGGTAACTATGGCTTCTACAAGGACATTTAATCACAACCCCCCTCCCCCCTTGAGAAGTCCATACCCACTTGAGTATGTCTCTTTCCTCAAGTGTCTTGCTTGTTCTTAAATCTGTTAAAAATGTTTTTTAATAAACTCTAACTCTGATGCATCCTGGGCTCATTGTGAAATTCTTTTCTGTAGCCAAGTCAAGGATCTGGCTGTACCTAAGGGAGGTCCTTATAGGTAGCAGATGGAGCTGTATCTTGGGCTCTGACATCTCTGACAGTAACATGATGGGAGCTGACTCATGGCTTTGTGATGACCACAAATTAAAGCACCTAGGACAATCTGTAGAATCTATAGGTGGAAGCAGTTACTATTCCTCACTAACACCCACCCTTCATTTTCCAAGCTCTCCAAACAGCCATTCCCTCTAGCATCTTCAGCACTTGAACTCTTGACTCAGTGTCACTCTGTCCAACTAACATCTCCTAATTCTAGGTGATTTCAATTCTCAGTAATGATCCTTCTAACTGACCTCTTAGTTCCCTGACTTCCTCTCAGCTTCAACTCTACATTCTCATGGCCTCACCCTCACCCAACAACCACACTGTAATTTCAGATGGGCCATCAAATTCTCCAATCATCCTCTTCCCTATTTCTCCAATTCCTTCTTTCTGTTAATCCCAACTTCGGCAATCCTTCACCCCCAGGAGACTTACAGTCCACTAACTACCAACTTTTTTTTTTTTTTTTTTAATCTCACATACTAGTCTACCCTCTCTTTCTTTAGCCAGCTTAGATCCACAGTCAGTTATAAAAATGGTTCCACTGCCTACAGTCTGCTTCACAGGAGGACTCCATTGAGCTCAACTCTGCTCATTTGATGCCTGTGTCTACTCATCTTTTTCTGTGGCAAAGAAAAGCAAATAGCAATGTCCACTTTAGTTTCATGACCATGAACATCCTGCAGACCTGCCCAACATCTGTCCCTAATTAACTCTCCAATCTCCCTACTTGTGCGTTAGACCTCATCTCCTCTCACCTACTTAAGCAATTCTTCCTCCATGTTCCTAAAGTTTCCCCTTCTCTAAACTATCAGCTCCATCAACACACAAACATGCCAGTTTTACTTCTCACTTATAAATAAGGAAAATTGTCTGGCTTAGCAACAGAGGCCTATAATCACAGCTATTTGGGAAGCTGAGGTACGAAGGCTGAAAGTTCAAGGCCTGCCTGGACCACAGAATAAAATCTAGGCCAGCTTGGGTAACTTGGTGAGACCCAATCTTAAAAAGAAGATAGCTCAGTGATACAGCACTTGCCTAGAATACCCAAGGCTCTAGGTTCAATCCCCCAGAAGACAGAAGCAGAGAAGAGAAGGAGACAGACAGGGAGACAGAGAAGGAGGGAGAGAGAGAGGGAGAGGGAAAGGGAGACAGAGAGGAACAAAAACAGCATCATTTGCCCTTCCTTTATTTCAACACTACCCCATCTAGCTCATCTATAGTTAAAGCCAAAACTGCGAAATGGTCACTTGTACCTGGCCCATAGAACTGGTCTCTGACACCATCTCCAACTATTGTCCCTCACTCACTCCAATCCAGTTAACCTGCCCTCCTGATGTCCTTCAAAGCACTCAGAAACATCTCTAGCCTTTAGGTTTACTTAGAGTATTCGTCTTCCTGATATGCTGGGGGTTGCTCCCTGGTCTCCTTCTAAAGCTCTGCTCACACAGCACTGACAACCCTACTAGAACAGAAGTGATGATACTTCATACACTCAGGCCCACCA